GAAGCGGTTGAAGCGCACCGGACGAGTGGAAAGGCGGTGATTTGTGGCGTTGACAGTCAGGGTAGCCCATAACGAATTTTCGAACAAAATTATACACTCCGCGCCAGTAAAAGCGATGACGAATGCGTTCGTAAGTTTTGAAAACTCTGGCAAGACAACATTGGGGATCGTCGTAAAAGGAGGCGTAGATTTGTGATCGCAAGCTGCGCGGGACAACCAAGAGCCACTTACGACCTTCAGGGGCGTAGTTGCGTCGGTGTAGTAGCTGATCACGAATGGCGAAATGAGCAGCTTGACGTCGGAGAGATCGTGGTACCGCAGTGGTTTACGATCCAGAGAGACAGTTAAGAAAGGAAGTGATCCATGGGTCCTTGTGTTGTTCACTGGCAAAGGAGTTGAGGTCGAGAGATGCGACGCAGTTGGTACCAGTGGTTCCGCATGGCGAGTAGGGAGGTAAAGGCAAACGCGACAAGGCGTTGGCGTCAGAATGCTTGCGTCCGCTGCAATTGATGACGCGAATGTCGTACTCCTGGATTTGCAGTGCCCACCAAGCTAGGCGGCCAGAAGGATATTTCAATGTGGCGAGCCAACAAAGTGCATGGTGGTCCGTTACCAGGTCCAATGGGCGACCGTACAAATAAGGGCGGAACTTTCGAAGCGCCCACACTAGCGCCAAGCACTCTTTTTCAGTGACGCTGTAATTGGCCTCAGCTTTAGTAATTGTGCGACTCGCATAAGCGACGACGTATTCGGAGTAGCCAGGCTTGCGTTGGGCGAGGACGGCGCCTAGACCAACCCCACTCGCGTCTGTGTGAACTTCCGTTGCAGCTGTTGGGTCTGAATGCCGAAGAATGGGAGATGTTAGCAGACTACGGAGCGTGGCAAATGCAACGTCGCAGTCAGGAGACCAGGATTAAAGGTCTGCGTCACCGCGTAGGAGGTTGTTCAGTGGTGACATGATCGACGCAAAATTTTGCACGAAGCGCCGGACGTACGAGCATAGTCCGACAAAACATGCGTAATTCTTTCAGTGTAGTAGGTTTCGGGATATCAGCGACTGCTCGCAGTTTTGCAGGGTCGGGTTCGAACGTCATGCTTGGACACGATGCGCCCTACGATGGACAGCTCTCGCGCGGCGAAGCGGCACTTTTTAAGATTTAGTTGTAGCCTAGCGTTGGTTAAACACGTCAGAACCAGTTGGAGCCGAAGCAGATGTGAAGGAAAATCGGGAGAGAAAACGACAATGTCGTCGAGTTAGCATAGACACACAGACCACTTCAGTTCACGCAGCGTGTTGTCCATGAGTGGTTCAAACGTGGCAGGAGCATTACAAAGCCCAAATGGCATTACGTTAAATTCGTACAGGCCATCTGGCGTAATGAACGCAGTTTTCTGGCGATCAGCTCCTGCCATAGGAACCTGCCAGTATCCAGATTGTAAGTCTAAGGAGGAGAAGAATTCGGCTCCTTCGAAGCTGTCAAGAGTGTCGTCGATGCGTGGTAATGAATAGACTTCTTTCCGCGTCACCTTGTTTAATCGCCGGTAGTCGACGCAAAATCGAATCGATCCATCCTTCTTTCGAACTAGAACGACAGGAGATGCCCAAGGACTGTGCGATAATTGAATAACGCGATGGCATAGCATCTCGTCGACCTGGTCGTTGATGACGTGACGTTCTGCAGCAGAGACACGGTACAGTCTTTGACGCAATGGCTGGTGCGAACCGGTGTCAATGTAGTGGTGCACTGCGGAAGTCCGACATAATGGCGGCTGAGAAACGTCGAATGAATTCGCGAAGTGCTGGAGGAGATTAAGAAGCTCGGCGCGTTCATGGGCACTTAAGGTGTCGGCGATGGAACTCGAGAAGGTGTCACTCAATGAGCATTCCAGTGGGGAAAGGGCATGAAGTGCGGTCGAGGCGCTACTGCGCGATTCATCTGGCATGTTAAGGAATAAAGAGGAATCGAGGTACTCCACTCGACTGAGACATTCGCCGGCAAGTAGCGTAAGCGGTGCAGAAAGGAGGTTGTGGACGAAAATACTGCTTGGGCCAGCATTGACGTCAAGTGTACCGAAAGGCAAGGAAACGGCTCTGCGGCTCATAAAATGTCGGAAGGTGTAAACATTACTGTAGCATCGTTATGGTCATCGTAGCAAACAGGGACAACGGCAAGAGAGGCTGGCGGAATTTCAGTGTCTTCGCGTACGACGAGTTTTGGGGACCGCTCAAGAGTTTCGTGCAAAGGTTTGTCAGACAGGTGCGAAAATTGAAATTCAGCGCGTGCGCAGTCGATGGCGGCATGATGATATGACAGGAAGTCCCACCCGAGGATAACGTCATGCGAGCACACCGAAAGGAGGATGAACTCGACAACGCACATTGAGCCTTGGATGAAAATGCGGGCTGTACAGGTGCCGAGAGGTCGAACTGGTTGTGCGCTCGCCGTACGAAGCGATAGTCCAGAGAGCGGCGTGGTCACGTTGCGTAGGGAGCGGCAGAGCAGGGCGGCTATAACAGAAACGGCCGCACCTGTGTCGATGACGGCTAAGGTAGAAACACCATCGACAGATATGAAGACGACGTTAGCAGGTGAAGTGCGAGGACTTGGGCATTTCGACGACGGCGCAGTTCTTGCCTCTGGAACTGCGGCGTTCAGTTTTCCCGGTTGGAGGAAGCGGGTCAGGGACGCATTGGGGAGAGAGATTGCCTGCGAGGAGACGGCGAGCAAGGAGAGTGAGTCGGAGCTGGGAGCTGGGGTGACTCAGACTCGGGAAGGTTAGTGTAGCCATACTGCGGTGAAGGATAGAGAGCAGGTAGGTGCGTGGGCTGCGGGTCATACCGTAACGGCCAAGTAGCGTTGTGTTGTGATTGAAAGCGACGACGACAATATCGTGTCACGTCTCCTGGAGTACCGCAGGCGTAGCAGATCGGTCGATTGTCAGCAGTGCGCCAGGAATACCTCACTCGCGGTGCGGCCCAAGGTGTCGAAAGAGGGGAAGAGTGGGGAGCAACTTCAGGCATGGGTGGCAAAAGCTGCTGGCGGGGTCTGCTGCGCACCACCTGGGCATAAGTAAGAGGCGCGGCCACGGGCTGCATAGCCGGCGCATGGGGAACAGGCATGGCCACAGGCTGCTGGTGGGCATCGACGGGAACAGCTTGAGCTACCTCTTCGGCAATAACGTCGCGGAGTGGTGAGGGCAGATGAGAGGACGGTGGCTGCTGCGTGAAGGGAATCAACGACTGCTGCCGAGCTACTTCTTCACGCACAAAGTCTTTATTCTCTTGCAGAGTTGGTGAGTAATCAGTAACAGAAGTAAGACTGGAGAGTGAGTCGTAGTGTGAGGGAAATGGCCGCGTCAGGGTGCGCCGCTTCTTCAACTCGTCGAAACTTTGACGCGAAGTCACAAGTTCCGCAACGGTGGCAGGATTGCGCTCCAGGAGCATCTGCAATGCGCCGTAATTTATCCCTTTGAGGATGTGCTGAATCTTCTCCGACTCGAGCATGGCGGTATTCACACGGTTGCAAAGACCAATAATGTCTTCGAAGTAACTGGTGAACGATTCAGATAGCTTCTGTGCGCGAGTCCGCAAGCGTTGTTCGGTTCTGGACTTGCGGACAGCGGGTCGGCCGGAAACGTCAGCAAACGACGTTTTGAAGATGGCCCACGTCGTAATTTAGTTTTTGTGGTTGTTATACCACATTTCAGCTACGTCAGTGAGGTAAATGATGACGTTAGTGAACTTGTCCGCGTCATCCCTCTTGTTGTTTGCGCTCACCAGTTCGTATATAGCGAACCAGTCTTCCACGTCTTTCTCTCTTTACTATATAAATATACATATATATATATATATATATATATGTATATATCATTATATATATATAATAATGTATATGTATATATATATATATATATATATATATATATATATATATATATATATGTGTGTGTGTGTGTGTGTGTGTGTGTGTGCGTGTGCTGACGAGTTAGGTGGATTTGTGGGTTTGCCTTCCCCCCCCGCACTCGCTCAACAGATGGTACGCACTTTAGGTGGTAATATGAGAATGATGGCGGGCTTGTCCTATGCATCATCATTTACATTGCACACTCACGGCACTCTCAGGGCCGTTGCACCAGCTGACATACATCACATCTGGTACTACGTCACGCGACAGTAACAAAACAGAAGAAACAGGCGATAATATAAAAATCATAGCACTTCATGTGAAACATCACTTTTATGCGACGCTCATGACGCACACGCGCGTGTTTGCTTTGTTAGACAAGATATTAGTGAGGAACAGCAGATAAAAAATGCCAAGGAAAGCACAGGAGATGATACCCGAAGATAAATAACGAAAACAAGTCTCAGGTGACAGCATGAATTTCAGGACATACATGTCATGTGCAACTTGATTTACATGCCATGCTCCTGGTGCGTTCGCAGTCAATTTGCTACTTCGATATACACCGAAATTTGTATTGCGTAGTGTGAATGAATGAAGAACATAAATGAAAGGTCGGAACATGCAAACGATGACACACATGTTATGAACAGCATGATTTGCTTTTTGCTGGCTGCTTTGCATTACATCAATTTTCACAATGCGTTGGATCTGCTGTTGTTTTTTTTTTTGCTTTAAAGACTGATATATGAGCAAATACTCAAGATGACCGCGTAGTATCGCAGCAAATCAGCCCGCTAAATGCTGTGTTGGCATTCATATATTGTTTAGGTCAAATACACCTGTATTGCACCAATCATATGCGCTGAGAACGAAATTACATGCGTTAGTTAACCCTTATTGTTCGCTCTTTAGCTTGTGAGTACTGTATATTGTACCTCGTTCTCACATGTGCTGTCTTTCTGTTAGTATGTTACTGGGCAGTTGTCTATAGCTATCTATGTTGTGTATGCTAGAGTACTTGATGTGCGTAGCAGCAATCGACCATTCTTTAGTAACATAGACGACGTGGCAGTGAGTCATGCAAATGCATACCTGACAAAGTCCAGGACTTGTTCTATACCACTCGGTTCCTTGGCCCCTCTCCTAAACATCAGTGCGCGCGGGCACTTGTCGTAGGTGAACCAGTTGCCATGCTCAGCCGACAGTTCTGGCATACCGCTAACATTGTAGATTGTAGAAAAGAACCTGCATGGACCCAATTTCGCGCAACCATATCTTGTAAGAGCAGGACACTGGTAAGTAGCGCACACTTGCACACAATCCCCCAAAGATTACGTGGATGTAGGACGGTTAACGCTGTACAATACTTGCAGCAGTGACACGGCTATAAAACAACGGACATAGCACGTAAAGTTAATACCACAAGCATTTCGCGACGAATATTGATGAATGTATGTAAAAAATTGGCCCGCTAATTGCAGTGAATGCAGTGGCCCGATAAATGCAGTGGCGCGCTAAATGCAGTAGAAAAGAACCTGCATGGACCCAATTGCGCGCAACCACATCTTGTAAGAGCAGGACACTGGTAAGGCGCGCACACTTGCACACAATCCACCAAAGAATACGCGGATGTAGAACGGTTAACGCTGTACAATAATTGCAGCCTTGACACGCCATTAAAAGAACGGACATAGCACGCAAAGTCAATACCACAAGCATTTCGCGACGAAGATTGACGAATGTATGTAACAATTGGCCCCGTATCTGCATGTTACACTTCAAACGTCGTCGGAAGACGATAGTGTTGCGTATAGAGAGAGTGAACCGAACGTTTGTTTGCTGTTTTGCGCATGAAAATTGATTGGTGAATGGTATTCTGAAGGCGCTGCGTTAAAGTGCCTCGAGCTTGCAGCGGAGGCGAACGAGCGCATCAAGCCACGTCACACGTGAGGCATGAGCACTATCTCGCAGTTAACTGTGAAAATGAAGCACGTGGCGTGCGCGCCCGTCTCGGAGGTGATGTGGAGTAGAACGCAAGGCGTCGGGTATTTGCAACCACACTGTCGTCTTAGCAAAGCATTGGTAAACACTTGCCCTTTCGTGCAAGCGTTGTATGGTCAGCGCAGCGTGACAATTGCCATGGTCCTTACAATTACTTATGTATGTCTCTTCTAGTAAAGACGCACATACAGAATATTGACGTGTTGTTTTGGTGCCTAAGATATGTGCGATAATTTCTTTTTCATTGACTATCGCACAAGTATGAAAGCCGAACTTCCCGCAATAATGATGGGCACTGCGGATGAAGTCAGCCCTTTGGGGCATCGTATGGTGCCTTTTAGAGCACCGTTAGGGCGAGCAGACGGACAAATGTACAGACAGGCAGGCAGACCAAAATGTTTCGTTGAACGTCCGCAAGAACGATTTCGTCTTTATTAACTGCATTAACATCAAGAATTGTAATTGCGCACAGAAAGCGAGGACGCAAAGTAAGCACACACACATATAGCGCCACTTTCAGCGCACTAATACCATTTTTGACCATGGAATACGAACGTTCCAAGATGTCCTCCTTGGTGAACTGCAATAATGTGTTTTGCCTTAGTGAAAGCTTCTTTGTTGCCCTGTGTACCACTACAGTTGTAATGGCTTGCTCACGTGCATGCATTATGTGTATTGCTTATTCACATGGCTTCCTCAAAACGAGGACATAGGCGGTAACCCCATCAAGCTGCTTTGTTTTTTTTTCCGTGCAACCACTTTCTTCTTGTTGTTGTGAGAAAAACTGTGAGTAAAGATTCACAACACTACTTGACTGAACCTAGGAAAGTGTGAAAAAAAAAAGCACACTATCAACCAGCATGCTGCATCTTCCGACATAGGCGCTGTACGGAGTGCAAAGCAGCTGTTTATATGATCTTTCGTGACGCTTGCGCTCACGGGCAAGAGAGTGCTTTTGTTCCTTACGTTCGTCGTTCATGTGGGAAAGAAAACTTTCTCTTTGCAAGGAGGTGGTGTCCTCTTTCTCCAAGCTCCCCTTTACCGCTCTCTTGCTATGCTGTACTATACGCAAAAGACAGTGGTATTGGGTGTGTTGGTATAACATCATAAAGTTTGCTTACCAGCGCAAACGACAGAGCATGAGGGGCTCTGTCTCGTCTCTTCTCCTGTCTCCTTCTGCCCTGTCGTTTGCGCTGGTAAGCAACGTTTATGATGTACTATACGATACACGGCACTGCTATGCTTTACTCTTCCTTTCCTTTTTTTATTCCCTTTCACCCTTACATAATCCACTCCCTGCGCTTTCTACCACAATCGGTATTGTGCACTATATTGCCACGTTCCTTTCCTCAAGTTTTGTTATCACCTTGTTACACTACGTTCAGCGCGAACCGTGCCTACGATGTTCGAGAAGCTTTGAGATTGTAGTAGATCGTTTTGTTGAGAGCATGCCTATTTTGTGAACAATAATGATTATGCGAGAACCTACGTATCAACTATCAATAACGCTAGAATATTCGATTGCAAGCATATAAATGCCCAGAAGCTTCGCCGCTTGTCCGTTGATCGACGGAAGATGTTCTGCTTGCCGTTACCAGTGCCAGTGTGCCGCTGTAATCTAACTTTCCTTTTACGTGGCCACAAGCTTGGCCCAAATAAACAGTTTATTATTTAACCCGCACTCTGCTCCCTTAATTCACTTCACCACTCCGTGATATCTGGTGGAGGTGCTTTCCGTTCATGTACTGAGCACCCCTTTCCAGTCGAGAAGCAAGCCCTAACCATCAACCAAACATCCCCGCTAACCTCGACCTGCAAACAAGCTGCCGGCAACAAGGACTACTTCCGAAGTACGGGCTCTACTTGATAACAGTCGCATGCCGAAGGCGACCACCACTACTGCGTCAAATATTACAGCCCCTTTACCAACGCCCGCCATAGTCGCAATGTAGCAGCCAAAAGAGCCGCCCATATTCCCGGGATCTCCATTTTAAAAACTAGAGACCTGGCTCGAAACGTACGACCGAGTGGCAGCCTTGAACCAGTGGGACACGGAAGAAATTCTGCGCCGCGTCTACTTCCACTTAGAAGACTCGGCAAGGACCTAGTTCAAAATTGGGAGTCCGCACTTCGCTCCTGGGATCTCTTTTTGCGGCGCATTTCTGGAAACATTTACTAGCGTTGACCGCAAAAAAAGGACCGCTGCTTTGCTGGAGACCCGGGTATAGCTATTAAATGGAAATATCACCATCTTCACGCGCAGGTTAAGAAGCCGCACCGTTGCAGTTCCGAAGCCAGCCATCGCCACCGTCAACGCCATACCGTCCACCCACCACCCAGCTCGACACTCAGAGGAAAACCGACGCGTGGCGTGCCCCCGAACATCGACCTCTCTGCTACCACTGCGGAGAAGCAAGCCACAGCTACCGTCAGATGAGACTGCGTCGTTTCGTATTAGATGCGCCACGACCACAGCAGGAGGAGACTCCGCGACAACGACGACTACTTCGCAGCAGTCCAGTGGATACCAGGGGGATCTTCCCGTTCGCCGTCACCCGGCTGCCACATGTCGCCCCACCGCCGGCCATATACTGGTACAACCCGGGGCTGGTCTCTTAGCTTTTATCCCGGAAACTACGGGAAGCAACCGCTGTAGTTACGGTTGCTTCCGATGACAACAATGACAACGCCGCGACGGTACTCTCCAAACACCACGCCAACCAGGCAAAGCCCTGACGACGAAACCCCGTCTACTGATGACGACCTGACGACGACCTGACGACGCAACATGGAAGCATCGGAACAAGCCGACGTAGACGTGACCCAGCGTTACTACCGAACTGCAACGCAAGACGACGAACTAGCGACTTCAACGTTCTTATCGACGGCTAGAGTGTGATAGCTCTCGTCGACACTGGAGCTGACTATTCTCTCATCAGTTGAACGTTCACTATGAGAATTAAGTCAAGCACGCCTGGGAAGGTTCTGATATAAGAACAGCTGGAGGCTACCTAGTAACATCGGAGCGAATCTGCACAGCGAGAGTTTGAGTTAACAATCGGATTCACCCCGTAAGCTTTGTAGTAATACAGCGGTGCTCGAGAGATACGACTCTTGGTATGGACTTCTTATGCCTTCATGGTGCAGTCATCAATCTGATATCAGAGTCGATAACGCTATCAACAAAACAAGCCCCCATCGCCGCACACGCCAACCGGGAAGCAGGCCTTGAATGTACTGGAGGATCAAATCACAATTCGCTCTCGATCCAGCATCCACCCTTCTGTCGGATCTCAGAAATCCGCATGCATGCAAGGCGTCGTTGAAAGTGGCCAGGGCTTGTTGATCAACTGCGAGATTTGCGCCGCAAGAGGAATAGCCCAGCTGAGAGAGGGGGAAAGCAGTAGTGATGCTCACAAACTGTAGCAATGATTACAAACACGAGAGGATAGGCAGTACGTTGCCTATTTTGAAGAAATTGTGGAAGCCAACAACGTTATTGCTCTCGCTGCGGTTCTAATGAATCTGCTTCGCCGAATCGAGGTCTCCACGACTCTTCCAAAGCATAAGCAAGAATGGCTGAAAAGCCTGCTCCAGCGATACAAGGACTGCTTTTCATCGTCGTCGAAAATTCGGCAGACACCACTAGCAAAACATCGCACCATAACACAGGAAAGTACCAGATTACTCTGTCAGATCCCGTACAGAGTTTAGACGCGAAAGCGGGAAGCAATAAAAAAACGAGTCGACGAAATGCAATGTGAAGACGTCGTCCAACCTTCCAAGAGTCCATGAGCGTCACCTGTGGTGTTAGTGAAAAAGGATGGCACCCTACGCTTCTGCGTCGGTTATCGTCGCGCGAACAAAATCACGAAGAAGGATGTGTATCCTCTTCCACAGATTGACGACACTTTTGATCGACTTCACAACGCGAGGTATTTTGCGTCAGTGGACCTCAATACCAGCTATTGGCAAATTTAAGTTGACGGAAGAGACTGAGAAAAAGATGACCTTCATAGCACCAGACGTTATCTCCGAATCCGAAGTGATGCCGCTTAATCTTTGCTCGGCCCACAACCTTCGCGCGTTATGGATACTTGGACAGGAAGACATCGTCCTGTGCTTGGACGATGTCATCGTGTTTTCTTTAAGCTTCGATGAACATCTCCTGTTCCTTGAAGCGGTACACAAAGCAATCAAGGACTCGAGACCCACCCTAAAGCCAGAGAATTGCCGCTTTGCGT